GGTGGCTAACCAACCGGACATAGTGGTGGTAGACAAACAGAAGAAGACAGCTGTAGTGATAGATGTAGCGGTTCTCGTATATAAGGAACACAAGAAGCTCGAGAAGTACCAAGGGCTCAGAGAAGAGCTCAAAAAAATGTGGAGAGTGAAGGTAACAGTGGTCCCAGTGGTAATCAGAGCCCTAGGTGCGGTGACTCCCAAACTAGGCGAGTGGTTCCAGCAGATCCCAGCAACAACATCAGAGATCTCTGTCCAGAAAAGCAGAGTCCTAGGAACAGCTAAGACATTGTGCAAGACCCTCAAGCTCCCAGGCCTTTGATAGAGGACCTGAGCTTGAAGGATAGACCGCAGGAGCGAGTGGGGAATTATATATATATATATATATATATATATATATATATATATGACATATATAAAGCCCTTTGAGTCGACTGTTGTTGTAATTTGTTGAAATGAATCACCACCTCCTTACCCACCACCTCCTTAATTGAATTGCATTGTTACATGACATGAAGTGTTTGCATTGTAACACTGACTCTGAGCTTTGTAAATCATTGCTAATAATGTCTGTATATCATATGCCATATATTCCATGTGCCTATATTTTGTAAATACAAACAATTGCAGTAAGAAACATAGTGACATACCAGACTTTTAGGAGTCATATTTTTGAAGTTATAAAGCTTTTTATCAATTTTTGATGAATAAATCTTTCAGTTGATCTTGAAAACCTTGGTGGATTCAGCTCAAATTTTAATGGATAGTTAACATGACCCAACTCTACACTCTACAAAGTTTTATCAGAATTCGTCCAAAACTTTTTGAGCCATTACCTCGTCAGCGGGGTTGATAATGAAAATATAGGACGTGAATTTTCCAGCAAGTCAAATATATAATGTGAGAAAAAAACCCTTCTAATAAGATGTAAGAATAAACCACAGCATGCAACCTAAGCACTGATAAAGAGTGGAGTTTGATGCACAGGAGGGTGTTGCTAAAAGGATGGCAAGGACACCACACAAAAGCCTTGAATTCAAAGCGGCAATGAAGGGTGGAGAGTAATAAAAGAAGTGGGGAGAAAGAACTTGAAGAAAGATGGACAAGAGAGTTTTATCCCCTTCTGAAAAAGACACTCCATTCAAGACTTTCTGTTTCACTAACTGCGCACCAGGGGTCAGTATAGCTCAACAATTAATGGGCGTGAACACTATTGTTTAAAAAGACATTATTTTATTGCTTTTTGTTTTTGT